ATATATATATATATATATATATATATATATATATATATATATCCTCATTTGCTTATATGTATATAGTTGCAATTGAGTTGATAGATTAATAATATGTCAATATAAAAGAAATCTATGTAACATTAATTATCTCAAATTGTGGAAGACCTCTGACTTTTTGTCAAATTTTTTAATTTATTTTGAGGGCCGGTTTGTTAATTACGATTTCTCTATTTGATATTATGTGCTTAATTTTGGATAAGTTTTGTATGTAATGACACTAATTAAAATGACAATTATATCATAGCTTAGTTAGTTAATTACTAGTTAGAGTTTGACTTTGCTCGATAAAGCTATCGAAAACAGTGATTTTCGCGTAATTTTGAACTCGTAACTTAACTCGACTCGAGATTAACTTGTTAACTACGATTCAAATTAAGCGCATTAATTTGGACAAAAGAGCCAAGTTCGTATATGTAGCTACTTTAAATAATGATCAAGCTCAAAATCGATTCGATAAAAACGCAATCCACTAATATAATCAGTATCAGAAATTCGAGTTTAGCTCTATTTTTTTTTTTTTAAATTACATTCCATTAATCTTCACCATTATACACTTTGTCTATGTATAAATATATATATTTTAGGCCAAAATGAGACTAAAGCCTCACGTAAGACACACTATGCACATGATTTTCTTCCCAATCAAATCAACAACAGACAAAGACATTTTCCTTCATCAATGACATCAAAATTTTGTCCTTAATTGAAGAAACTTCTTCGAACTTGCATTTGTACCATCGTATCAATGGAATAGATTATATAATAATTAATAAAAAAAATCAATTAAAAACAAGAAAGCAAACTATTGCATTATCATGGACCATGTGTAATATATTATATATATATATATTTATCATTGAATTCATGAGTTAGTTGAGATTGCTAAAATAATTTCAATTAAATTTCTTGGATTTTCCATCACATGTTCAAGTAATATTAATTTCTTTTGGTACTTACTAAAATTAAATGCATATATATTCAATTATTCGATTAATACATTATACATATACATTAGCCAGAAATACCAGAAATCGAAATTTGTTATCATTTATTATTATTATTATTATTATTATTATTATTATTATTATTATTATTATTATTATTATTATTTTTCAATATTTTTCAGCTTGGTTTTAAATTATTATGGTTAGAGAAATTTAGTAAATAAATAAATAAATAATTAAATAAAATCGTTGTTATGTGGAATAGACTGCACTTGTTCCAAGCCAAACAAAATAAATAAATTAAAAAAAAAAAAAATATGTATGTTCCGTACTTATATGGTACCCCAACTCCAAGTGCATGGATTTTCAACATTAATTAAATGTCAAGCAGAAATTATATATGGTGTTGAAATTATTTCATGGCCACTTGTTTTATTTAATTTATTATATAGTTGGTAATACGTACGGGGATATATATATGATGGATATTGCCTATGACAAATCTTTATGTATGTATGTGATCTTATCTCATTTCTTCATGATAATTTATTTAAATTTGTAGTTTAATAGTCAATAAAAGAAATAATAATCTTTTTGATAATTATATATATGCATCTTGGATATTATAGATGCAAAAAGAATTTCTTAATGTTGTAAGTTTTTTTATAATTATATATATGCATTTTGGATATTATAGATGCAAAAATAATTTTCTTAATGTTGTTGTTAGTAAGTCAAACAATCGATCAATCATATACCTTTTTTTAATACAAATGCACATTATTAAAAAAAATAGAAATATTAGAGGTACTTGTACATAAAGGTGTACATAAACGTGACATTAATATAATAATATGTATACTTTTATAGTAATTATGATTTCTATATTCTCTCATATATAAATGCAAAGTTTTACGAGCTAAGTGTTATCTTATGATGTCTCGTAATTTTATGACTAATCCAATGCGTCATCCTCTTATTTAAGAAAAAAAAAAAAAAAAATCAACAAAAAGGTGATAAATGATTGATATACCTAGATATATATGAAATTAAGTAAATTACAAGTAGTATTTTTTGTTTTTATTAAATTCTATATAATTTGGTTGACTTTTATTTTTCAAATGTGTTGGTAAGATTGTAGAGAAAGAAATAAAACTGAACCAATAGTATTTTATTTTATTTTTATTTTTTTCATTCACAATATAAATGAGATAAATGTTCATTAACCAAATAAAAATAATGTAAAACTATTTTTAATAAAGAAAAAATAATGAAAATTTATTAATTTAAGCAGAAACAGAAAACCCCTTTGTTTTCTATACTTAAATAGACATGAAAATCAAAAAAATATTTATCTTATAAGCCCGTTTTATGCGGTCACGAGTTAATTTAATAATTTAATTTCAAATCTGAAATTTTTAATTTAATTAGTCCATTCAATAAATATAGCTGCGCTATTTTATTTTCCAAACATCATTTCAGCGACTAAAACCTAAATTAATTGAAACTTTACGCAATGAAGTTAAATTAGTTGAATTATCAATGTCTATCAATATCAATTCCGTACACCTCAAAATAATGAGATTGTTTAACTTTCAACTTTGTGTGCAAATCAATGTGTGGAAACTCCACTTTAATCGTGATTAAGATGTAGTTTAATTTGACTCATCATGCATATTTGCTTGTTAATTTCACAAAAAATAAATAAACAAATAAATAAATCTAGAAAATGGACTATATTAATTCAAACACACATATATCAGTGTCTAGAGCCGTAAACGAGCCGATTGTTCGGGTTATAGTGTTTATATAATGAGCTTTTAACTAAACGAGCTAATAAACAAGTACAAATTTTGGACATATATCAGCGGCTAGAGCCATAAACAAGTCAATTGTTCGGGTTATATATGAGCTTTTAACTAAACGAGCTATTAAACAAGTACAAATTTTGGACATATATCAGTGGCTAGAGCCGCAAACGAGCCGATTCTTCGTGTTATAGTGTTTATACTATGAACTTTTAACTAAACGAGCTAATAAACAAGTACAAATTTTGGGCATATATCAGTGGCTAGAGCCGTAAACGAGCCAATTCTTCAGATTATAGTGTTTATACTCTGAGCTTTTATCTAAACGAGCCGATTCTTCAGGTTATAGTGTTTATACTCCGAGCTTTTGACTAAACGAGCTGATAAACAAGTACAAATTTTGCACATTTATCAAGATTAACGAGCTAGGCTGAAGTCTTAACAAGATAAATTGGAATCTTAACGAACGGGCTAATCCACATAATAAACGTGGCCTAATTAGAAACAATTAAAATGGTTTTTGTCGTAATTTTACAAATTTTTATCGTGCACAAGCTAAGTTAAAAAATTAACAATTCTCTTGTAACTGGAACCATGCCTTCTTAAAGCTTCACAATTGCAAATGTATTATCAATATTGAAAATTTATAAGGTTCCGTTGCAGGATGGTACTGTCGGTGTTTTTCACCATTAGATACACATATAAATTATCTTGTGTGAATAATTTACGGTAACCAACACTAATGAAACCATTCCGTCAACGGGATACGAAAAAAGTAAAATTGTATGTGAAACTGGTTCAAGTACGGTGAAGCTAATTAATTAAGTCCCAATCTAATTACTTAATTTTACGAGTATTCCTAGGTATATATGAAAGGTTTTTATTACGACTTATTAGTTGATACATAAAATTATATTAAGGTTAAATATAATTGTAGCGAGATTTATGAGAGACCGCATAGCGCAGTGGATTAGCGCGTCTGACTTCGGATCAGAAGGTCGTGGGTTCGACTCCCACTGTGGTCGAAATTTTCTTCTCTCTCTATTACAATTATTTTTTACTTTATTTTTCCATCTAACTGTTCTTTTGGGCCTGAAAAATCACAACCCAACTCCACCCAAACTTGGGCCGTGTCTATTTATACCTTATTCGTAGGCCGATTAGTTGTAACTTCAAGAACAAGGCAATTAGCCCAGCCCAAATATCTCTCTCTCTCTCTCTCTCTCTCTCTCTCTCTCTCTCTCTCTCTCTCACACACACACACACACTTCCCTCAAATCTGAATCTTTCAGTTTACGCACCAAAACCTGACCCGTTATGCTCACGCGCCACCACACTACACTACTCTTCCTCGGCCGCCCATATCCTTCACTCCACCCATCTCCGTTTGACCTCCAAATGAGTTTGGATGGTTATTGAGAAATCTTTAGATATTGAGTTTGAGACCATAGATGACAACGACATTTATGCGTGCATTTTTGTGTTCTTGCATTTTCGTGCTTATATGGTATGCTTTCATGTGTATTGGCATTTCATCTTTGCCTTGTTTTCTTTGTTCGTTTCGCCTAGAACTGCAAAAGTGCACAAGCCTTATTCTTTTACTGCATTTGAAATTGGTCGAGATCTTTGACTATGTGATTAAAAGACAAATGTGATGGGAACTCTTAACATGTTGGCCTTCGCGAAGAGAATAGGCGCGAGGTTTCTTCTTACTAGTACGAGTGAGGTTTATGGTGATCCTCTTGAGCATCCACAGAAGGAGACATATTGGGGGCATGTGAATCCAATTGGTAAGTTAATACTGTATTTGTTTGCTTGTTTCTTTAGTTATTTCCGTTTGGAATGTGCTTTTTATGATTTGATAATTGATCTCAGGCGTCCGGAGCTGCTATGACGAAGGCAAACGAACTGCTGCAACCCTAACTATGGATTATCATCGAGGTGCTGATGTTGAGGTAAGATCACCTACGCTGAATTTCTCTTTGGGCATTGTTCATGAAATTTTTATTTACTTTATATTAATCTGTACGTAATATTATCAATTACAATGGCAGTTTATTAGCATATATAAATTCGATATGGGCTTTTGACTGTGCATTCTGATTGTTTTTAACTATTCGCTCCGATTCAGTTAGCTGTTTTCATATCTTGTTATCTTTCTTCTTTCTACAGGTGCGCATTGCGCGTATTCTTAATACGTGCGGGCCTCGTATGTGTCTAGATGACGGGCGTGTGGTTAGCAACTTCGTCTCACAGGTTTGTCTTGTGGAATGCTGTTGAACTTACTAGTGATATTAATCAGTATTGATTATAAACAGTGATGAAAGTTATAATTTGTAATGCAAAGTGTCGGCTTAAAACGGTGGCAGATCTATATTTGTGTGGCTGTGTTTGCAGGCTATATGGAAACAACCGATGACAGTCTACGGGTGAACGTATCGGCCCATTCAAATACATGAAGCTTATAAGTTAATCAAATAAGCTATAAGCTAGCGCATGTGGTTACCAAACACAACATAACCTAATGAAAACATTTTTTGTTGCCTTCAAAATTATATCTATCCCTTGACATATATTTATTTAGTACAAACTACACCCTGACAGAGTTGGATCTCCTTTTCTCTTATTGAACTAAACGTCTAGGACAGTTTTTGGATTGTTTCTCACAAACATAATCTAGAATATTCTCATTTTATGAATAAACAGGCTATTATCGTTGTGAAAAACAACAGGTTGTGAAAGAAACTATTGATCCCAGTGCCACGATCGAATTCAAACCAAACACTGCCGATGATCGTCATAAGAGAAAACCGGATATCACCAAAGCAAAAGAACTTCTCAAACTGGGAGCCAAAGATTTCCCTACGAGAAGGGTTGCCTCGCATGGTGAACGATATTCGAAATCGGATCTTGAACGAAGATGAAGGAAAGGGGAACTAATTAACTATGACGAACAACCCAAAGGAAAAAAAAAAAAAAAAATAGCATGTACAGATTGAGAGCGTGTCTTGTAAGTTGGCCGTTCCACTTTAACTTATTGCATTCATATCTTTGTTGAACAATTTTATCAGTAGCAACTTTAAACTTAGAAAGAGGTAGAATTTACAAGATATATTCAGTAATTTTGGGCAGTTAATTTGCCTAGTAACTTTAGTGGTAGAAAAAATCACTGAAAAATAAAAGAAATCACTATGTGATTATGGAAAATAGAAAACAAGTACGTACCCCGTGCGATGCACGGGACATATATATTAAATGAGTTATTTTCACATCTTTGTCCGTTTAAATCTAAAAAGGAATAGAGTTATTATCTATTTTCTACCTCTTTAAATCAACGTTAAGTCTAAAAAGTAATAGGGTTATAAGTTTTTTTTCCACATCTTATAACCAACGTTCTTTTTTTAGTAGAACATTAAATATGAGCATGTTAGTGTTAGCTTGTAAAATAATTAATATATTATCTCACTAAAATATTTATACTTATAAAAAATTAATTTTAGCATATAAATTTATCCTTTGATAAAAGAGAAAATAACAGTTTTACTTATTCTTGTTCACCATATAATATTTAATTATTATATTATTATATAATAAAAAAGAATACTGTTAAATAGTGTAGTAAAATTGTTATAAAATTATATGATTTTTTTTAAAATATGGATTTAATATCTTTTTATGATTTGATAATAAACTATAATATCTTTTTATGATTTGATAATATAACTATAATATATTTTTAATGATATAATAATATGAGATACGAATGATATAATAATATGAAATACAGATTTACATAATATTATGGATTTTATTCCTTAATGTTAAGATATTGAATTAGGTAATATATAATTCACTAATTTGTAATCTGTCTCTTTTTATATTAAAAATAATCATGCGATTGAGTAGAGATAACAATTATCTATAAATTTCTTCATTTAAGGAATGATTTTTAAATTGGTCCAAGTGTTGAATGTAACCCGATTTTCTTGAAACTAAAATGAGAAGAGATTTTGAATTTAGAATTTTTCCTTCAAAATCACACGTAAATTTGGATGCAGATATTATTAAAAATGAATTCAACAAAACTCATAATTTTTAATAAATATTAAAACTTTCTAAATATGGTGTGCAATTAATTATGTGTTAAACTTTTCATTTTACTAATTCTAGTAAATGTGATTGCTCTTTATATAAGTATAGATGTAAATTAACTCATGTGATTGTAACGCACACACAATAGATAGACAATTATTTTTTCAACAAATATGCATATATGTAAAGTAAAATCATTTAACTCCAAAATAATAACATACTTGAGAATATAACTATTCATATCATGAACATGTTCTAATGTTCTAATTTATGTTCAAAAAAAAAAAAGAAAAAAAAAACTACACAAAAATTTGCGTTCTCTCGAGAGAAAAA